GCAACTGACTAAACGGGTAAACAAAATTAAAAAGAAAAAAGAAAAAGAAATAAGCAACAACTATGTGTCTCGCAGGTTGGAGGACGGTGGTTGAGAGCCTTGTGGCCATTTTTGAGCCCATTACCCCTTTCTTTTTCTCTCGATTTTGTTCTAATCCACTGTTCTCTGTTCCTAGGCGTTTCCAGTGTTGGGTGTGTTTCGGAAAATAAAGAAAATTAATTAAAATAAATTAATTAAATAAAATGACTAGCGAAAAACAAGAAAGAAGATGAAGCAGAATTAGTCAAAGCTCGTGCTACGCACGATGTCGTTAAAACGTTTTTGTTGCCTCCCACGCTGCTAGGAGCGTTGCAACAATCGTTTCCCAGGATACGATGACTACGAACTAATGTTTGAGCACACAAACAAAAGTTACAGTGAACGAGAACAAGTCTGAACACTCAGGAATTTTTCAGAGAGACTGGAGGTGTTTTTAGCTGAAGAAATACGTGAGCTCGTGTATGAACGTGTGTTGTTGCAAACCACCTGCCAGCCTTTATATAGGAGGATTTGTTGTGTGCAAATGGTGAATTAATGGACCTGAACGTTGGACATCAATGACCAGTCCGTTGGGCATTGAATCGTCCACGAACTGTCCATTTAACGCTGCATTAAAAGATAAGAACGTTGGGCATTTATCGTTGTAACGGTTCAGATGCGCGACCAGAAGACCTCCCAACAGAACACCTTACGAGGTGTTCTGCCCGGAGCCACCAGAACACCATACCGAGGTGTTCTGGTCGAGGGTTTCTGTCCGGAGCCACCAGAACACCATACCGAGGTGTTCTGGTCGAGCCCTTCGCGTACAAAAATTACGCGAAGAAAACAAAAATTAACCGTATCTCCTGAGAGATAGATTTTTGGACGACATTCGTGTCCGCAGGTCGCCCGCGCACGCAAGTCGCGGTTTTTCTTCTCCGATTTCGGGATTTGATTTGCACCCCCCCCCCCCCCCCCGCACGCGTGGAGAGAGCCTTTACCCTTAGGAATCTTAACTCCATAAGGGGGGAGTCCCTTTATAAAGGGTTGCAAATCCCTTGGGTTTTCCGGTGTGGGAAATTAACACACTAGAAACTCATCCTTTTTCCCAGTTTTTCCATTCTAACGGGTAAACTTCGAAAAGCGATTTCTCATTCACCCGTTATCCGTTTTGAGCGTACCATATATTGAATTTTAGCCCTTATCAAGGACAATCCGAAACCACTTTGGCCCGACCCAAATCGGAAGTGGACCCCACTCAAAAAATTGCTCCAAAATTACCATTTAATGCAATTTTTCACATATTTTTCCAACATCCAGTCCACTGCCGGTAACCTATTTCAATCTATTTCTTGCTCGAAGTAACGCCGGAGACTGACAAAAAAGATGGCACGACAGATCTTAAAAGGCGGCTCAAACGGGTTTGGCCATGTTCTTCATTTTCTTGCCAAAAGTAGAAGCTTCCATCCCAAAGACGCCCAAGGAGGAAGAAGAAAAGGAGAAAGAAATATCACCGCACTGTTCATCGTCGATCTCGACTCCAATCATAAGAAATTATGCATTGTTCATCATCTTCTCGTCCCATCTCCATCTTTGTCGGTCTGAGCTTCGGTTGCCGATATCCCTATCGGCCAGAAAACGTTGAAGAAGGTGGGCTACTCCTAACGATAGAAAGGGGATGGGATTAGCCGATTAGGATCTGCTAAATTAATATAAAATAAAAAAAACTAAGTACTAATACTCAAATCAATTGAATACTCATTAAATAATACCCATTCCGTCCCTTTTTATTTAGCCAAACACATTTTTTCAAGTCAAAGTTATTCACTTTGACCGATTATATATTTATACACGGTAATAATGATAATATGAAAATGGCTAAAGGTCAAATAGGCCCTTGTACCAGTGCTGTAAGCTCAATTCAGTCCCTGAACTTAAAAAGGGTCCAATTCACACCCTGAATAGGCAAAAAAGGTTCAAATTTCATTTTAAGGTTAAACAACTGGTAAAAAAGTCCAATTCGCACCCCTAAACTATATAAATGCGTCAAAATTGCAATAAATCGAAAATAAAAAATAGAAACAATTAAAAAATTAAAAAAATGACCGGTTGTTTACCCGTCAAAAATGAAATTTGAACCATTTTTGCCGGTTCGGGGTGTGAATTGAACCTTTTTTTAGTTAAGGGACTGAATTGAGCTTACACGATCGATACATGGACCTATTTGACCCTTTAGCCTATGCAAATTATATGGAAATGTTCTTTGTTAAAAATACTATCATAAAAGTATAAATTTATTAAGTTTCACATAAATATATTAGTTAAAATAATGGATCAAAATTTATCATCTTTGACTGAAAAAGTCAAAGATGGCTAAATAAAAAGGGACGGAGGTAGTATAATTAAAAAAATTCTAAGAGTTACTTAATACTTGATTTAAAACAACACAACTCATTACTCAAATAATTTAAGTAAAGAGGGACAAAAGGATCGACAAAAAATGATGTATATGTATGCTTCTTTCTAACTCACTACGTTTTATTGATCAGTATTAATATATTATATTACTATATAATACTAATAATTTTTTTAAAATTGTGGCCCCATATATTTGGAGGTCTTGTTATGTAGAACTGGTTAAACCTCTTAAAAACCCACATGTTCTTCCAAAGTTCATAGGGATAACAAAGTTTTTAGAAATAATTATATATTTATGACAATAATAAATATTGTTTACAAAATTGTGACAAGTAACTAGAGTAGTAATGAAAGCATATCATCTTATGTTCAATTTTTAAACTTAAGTTATCATGACACGACATTGTAGTAATCATTAGTTATATTTGTGTAGATAAGTTTTATTTTAGCAACATTTTTGAAAAACACTCAAGATTATATTTAAGAAATATTTTCATAAAGTGAGAGCTTATTTTTAGAGTACTCTATAAACATTATATAAAAACAAGCCAATAATTTCTTTAAAATGATAAAAATGACTAGATTCACAACATTAAATCAAGGATAAATGACTTTGTGTCCATACATCTTGAATTATTTATACTTTTAGTTGAAGATCGATGTTATTTCATTTTATTTATATCTATGTTGCATGATTTTTTTTGGAGAATGTGTTGATATTTTCATATATCATGTGTTAAAATTCTAAACATATTTATACTTATTTTTGTTTAAAATTGAATAGAACATCAATAGATTATCAATTTATCATTAGTATTATATAATCAATTTCATTTATGATTTTTGTATATCACAACTTACACTGATTTTTTATATTTCATTTGGCATATAATCATTTGTTATATTAAATCATACTCCCTCTGTCCCAATATAAAAGGCACATTTTCCTTTTTGGACCGTTCCAATATAAAAGACACATTTCCCTTTTGGCAAACAAAACAATGCCAAACAGTGCCAAATAGTGTATAAACAATGTCAAACGGTGTCAAACAGTGTTCACCCTAAAAATGTGTGGAAAAGCAAATGTGCCTTTTATATTGGACGGAGGGAGTAATAATTTAGCGATGCAACTCATTTATCGTACTTTATTTTGATATACCAAAATTAGCTATACTAAAATTTCAGTAAGCTAACAGTATGTATTTTTGCATACAAAAAATTTATGGTACGATAAAGGTATGAGATAAAATATCGATATATCATACTGAACCATCCCTACCTAGTACCTGAGATGAAACATACAACGAGAACATCTAGAATGCTCCCTCAAAGTCCATAACATGTGGGATTGAATGAGCATAACATTCACTGTCTGCTCACCCTTCAGGAGTTCAGGTGGCATTAACCTTTTGAATGCTCTCAAGTCTCAACATCCAATTCTTCACGAGTAGACTGAGGGAGACATGCAGACTACAAAAGGGAAAATGACCAGAATCAAACGACTATCTAACACGCTCCGCGCTGGCTTTTTGTTGTTGACACTCTACAATGTCCTTAAAAAACAGAGAAAAATGTTTGGTGTATACAAAATGTGTACACCATTTTTGTACACTTATCTGTCTCAGGCAGACAAGTTGTCTGTCACAGACAAGTCATATATGAGTTGTCTGTAACAGACAACTTGTCTGCCTGAGACAGACAAGTGTACAAAAATGTGTACACATTTTGTGTACACCTAGCAAAACCCTAAAAAACAACTCCTTCCATATTTTGATGGAATATTTAATCTTCTGAAAAAGAGCAACAAGCTCGAGAGTTGACAATAAGGTAACCTTTTTTAGTTGAGAACTTCTTCTTGTACACACTTTTATACCCACCATGTACTCACAATATCTGTGATAAGTTTTTTTGTCTGTCAATCCAATTCACAGACAACATAATTTGCATAGACATAATGTGTTTGTGACTGAGATTCACAGACAAAAAAATTCCTCACAGACACGGTGGATACAAAAGTGGGTATAAAAGTGGGTACAAATATTTTTTTTGTTTTTAGTTTGTTATACTTGAGCTTAGACTTGGGAAAAGTAATGGAACAAATCAAGACTGGACTTCTTGCAGCGAATAATGAAACCGACCATCACCCAATAGGTGTTTGACACAAACTTGGTCGGGACGACACAATACCAATTCTAGATGTGGACATTGTAATCATGATTCATGAAGAGAGAACTGGGGCCTAGTGGCGCATGGTATGTTCGATGTAGCACGCCCATCCAATGAACCTAGGGTGAAATGTAGAAGGGGATCCTCTTGATGCAGTGGTCGGAGATGAGCTTGTCCTAGTACCGAATGGCTGACAAACATAAGTGATGCATTGGGAGGCGATATAGCACACCTTTCTAGAAAACCTTTAGAGCATCGCCAAAGTTGAAGCCATCTGAGAATGCTATCCTGTTCACCTCATTTTATGATTCCAGTACTCCTATATGCCTAACCAAAAAACAGGCTATACCCCTACCCAGACCTAGAATGAGAAAAAATGAAGACAATACGCATAACAGTAAGCATCATCTTAGCAGGTAAAGATTGCTAAAATCTAGCCACAAACTTTAAGCCGGAGTTCCTGGGAGTACATATAAGAATTGCCAGTCAAGATAAAAACTAGAAAATGATCAGGATGCAAGTCAAATTAGATGCAAAAGGCAGTTGCATTGTTCACATGTCCATCTATACCTTCAAGCACAGGTGCACAACTATGATAATTTGTTTAAATATCTCGCATATATACATGTCCACAATAGCATAATCAAAGGTTATTAAGGTTTTGCATGAAATTGCCTCCAAAATTTTATACAGCCGGAACTTTTTTCCCATCTTCAATAAAGAAAACTGCAGACTCAGGAACCTGAAAACAGCAGACAGGAAAACACTTTATCACTTGTGTATAATAAAAGTTCCGGGGCTCTATTACCGAGTCTGATGACCCGATGACCTGATCCGGGGCTCTATGACCTGATCACTACAAATTAGGGAGTATAATTATAGAGAGGGCCCCATTATTAAAATGAATGGTGGTGCCACATTAGTTAGTGGACCCAAACAGGAGCTTCTCTCTGGCTACTTTAAACTACTCTATAAAATGAAAATGCACCACGTATTTAGATAAGGCAGGAGGCAGAATCAATATATATAGAAATTAAAAGCTTAAAATTCAAAGGACTTGTAATCACAAAAAGGCCTAGCCTTGCTGATGCAGACTAATCCCTATAAGAATACAACCACTAAATAGATGTGACGCACCTACAACCATATGTCTATATTCCATCTGTTATAGATGCAAAAGCCCAATGGGCTGCTTAGAATGCATCTTAACCATAGGGCATTCACATTTTTGTTTAAAGTTATGAAATGGATTCATATGGTGGCTACGGTTGCAAATCTGTAAACACCATTATGGCACAACTCTTTTGCTGAAAAGCACGTCTAATGAAAATAATTTCCCATGGAAAGCAATCAAAAGCCCTCAACACTTGATTCAAGTTATCAATTGATTTTTATCTTTAAGCCACATGCTCTTTCAGAGAGATTTCTCAGATGAAAATATCAGCTCTCATTATGAAGGCAAGTCTTCATTCAAAAAGTAGTTGTTAGTTGGAACTGTGTAGGAAATTGATCAGAATATTCTTAAACCACGATAGGGAGTAAAAGATTGCTAGTCCAAAGATAGACTACCCGCTCAAGATCCATTATTTTAAACAAAACAGAAGGAAAAAAGAGCATTACATCTTGCCAGGTCTCTGTAATAAAATCCACAATGTCATACGCTATGTCTCCTTGAACATCAATCTGTTCCTTTTCGGTTGGGCCCTAGAAAAAATAATCATAAAAGAGGTCAGAAATATTAAGAAACGGAATAACCATATGGGAAGACAGGAACTAAATTGAATGCCAAGATTTCAGTGCACCTTAACTACAGAGGCTCCTGTGGCAAACTTTTTACCAAGCTTTTTTGAGGCATCGCTTAGTTTGATGCCTGATATAACATAACCACACTTTAGCAGATGTCCATCAGAGTTTTCAATGTGAATGAGCTACATCATATTTGATAACATAACATACCAAATAATTCTAGCCCCTTAATGGTAGTGATGCATTTTCTCTTATTACGAGTCATCTTTTCAATCACAACTTCTTGCTTGTCCTGCAATAGACAAGTTATACACCAAACTTAAATTTACTTCGCAAATTGGTCAAAGAACTGCGCAATTTATTGTTAAAACAAGTGCAAGTCTAGTCACTTTCATCGATATGACATACCAACAAACAATCAAGACCAGCGAGTAGGATGTCTACGGTAGAAAATACACCATTCTAGGACTGCAAGTTAATGGGGAACTAACAAACTAGTGAATCCAAAGCTTGCTAACAATTGTTGCGCATTTTGTGATGCTTCATACCACATTTTGCTTTGAGAAATTTATTTCATTTTAAGTTTAACTATGCAAACGCCATGAAGCATGCAAGCTTGAGAGGAATTAAGGAAACACAAAGGTCAACAATACTTATCTAGACATACAAATAAGGTCTAATATTACCATTGATAAAAGATGAATGCTTTTATTTAAAAGAACGAATCAGAAACAGTACTTACTTTCTTTTTTATCTTTCCACCTGGAAGGCGTTTCACTTCTTCCTGCTTAGGAGCTGAAGAACCTGCTCCAGCTAACAAACAAAAACATTAACAGAAGTATAGATAATAAAAATTGATTTGTTGAATACTAAGTTTTCTTAAAAACCACCATTAAACCTAGAGCGTCCACTATTTGAAAAGTAGTAAATATCTTAATAAGAACTAATTCCAATTTTGGTCCTACGAGTATTATGTTAATCCCACATTTGGTACACACCTTACAATTTGTCCACTTTTGATCTATAACTATTGTTTCTTGCTTATATGTGGTCTTTTTGGTTGAATTCTCAACACATCTGAAACAAGGATTTTGAATGCCTGAAGTATGGATGAAAGGGCCACAGCTGGGAAAAATGATAATCATGAACCAGAAATGGATAAAGTCAAAGGCGTGGACAAAATATGGAATCAACAAAATATTTAGGGAACCAAGAGTGGAATCAATGCTCCTGATAAAGCACAACTTACAACAAGTGCACAGTATAGTAATGAAAATTAATTACATGCCACCTTGGGTTTAATTTAAGGTAGTATGTATGAGGAAGCAAACAAAAATCACTTTTTGTTAAGCCACTACAGTTACTAAACACCATAGGTACATGAGAAAAGGAAAAAAAATTACCATCAGAGATCGAAGTTGCTTGAAACTGATCAGCTACTGTATCTGATTCTTTTCCATCAGCTCCTGACATATAATTAAAAAAATAAGAGCCCATTCAGTAACACTAAGAGCCCGTTTGGAAACCTTTATTTTCAATTTATCAGCCAACTTTTTACCAAACACGTAATTTTATATTTCGCGCGTTGGGGTGTGGAGTAATCAATATAAGGGAGTGTTCGCAAAAAAATAATAAAAGTGTTTTTCAGCTTTGGCTTTAAAAAGCTGAAATTAGTATTTTTCAAGTGACAACTTCTACTTAACTTAAACACTTAAAAGTCAAAAGCTAGATGCAGGTGGAGGGATGCTTTAAACTGCTTTTCACTCTTCTATTACACAAAAAGCACTTTTCTTGTCAAACACTACTAACTTTTACTTTTTCAAAATCACTTCTTTCTTAGGCACCACCAATTTTCACTATTAATCACTTTTTCTAAATCACTTGAAAAATCATTTTTTTTAAAGTAAAAGTAATCACAAACACTTCCTAAGTAAGGTTGTAGTTAGGGGTGAAATTTTAGAACCAAGAACCAAACAACCGTTCGGAACCGAACCATTATAACCCGGTTTCATTTCTACACATGAGTTATAACTTCTTAACGGTTCAGTTCCTGATTTCTACAAAAAAATGTTCATAGTTGTTATGGAGGTTAGGCGAGGTGAGGCGCGACGCCAACAAATCGCCTTATTGCTTAGGCGAATAGGTGCCCGCCTAGGCGACAACGAGGCGACTGGTCGCACCATATTTAATAACTATAGTATATACTCCATCCATCCCAAATTGATTCGCAGAGTCAACTTTTCTTGGTTAACATAGTTTTACTTTATTGACTTATTTAGTACTCCATATATCATTTTTTATTCTATAGTAAAGTGGAGTTTGCAACTTTATAAAACTTCCAACATAGTTTCTAAACATGTAAATTTTAATTGTTAAAATTGATGATTTTACTATCCACAAGGATGACCTTATTCCAGTGAGGCGATGGCACCTAACGACCACTCCCTAACACCAAGATGCCTAGTTGGTGACTAGGCGGACGCCGTAACAACCTTGAACATGTCTAAGGAACCGTTAAAAACCCATTATTAAAAAAGTAAAAAGTATAGTAGTAGTAATAATAATGATAACATTAACAAAAATATCTAAGAACAAATTATTAGTAGTAGTATTAGTAACAGTATAGTATGAATACAACCAATGCCATTTTGCAACAAAACAAGTTAAATTGAATTGGAAAAATCGGAAGTTACAGATTTCTTTCCATGAGGTTGAATACATTAAACTCATTTTTTTACAAATCATGTTTTGTTCCATCACGTAAATTTCATAAATATAAAAGCAACCCAAATAAATGTGTTAATTCCATATATTTTTATGTTTTGAGAGACTCGAACTAGACGTCTATTTTTGGTACTATGATGATTCAACCTTCATTGCTACCAAAACAACTATTTTCATATTTTACCTCTTGAACAAAAATTGAAATACGAGTATTTTTCAAAATAGGATGACATCCCATCCTTGAAGACGTTTCAGAACCGTTTTCTGGGAGGATGTAAATTGAGCTTTGATCACTGATGAAAATATTAGTAAAGTTCCATCACAAGTCTTTGTTTGGAGTTAAACCCGGGATCTCCCTTATGGCACCCCTTTCCTTCAGGTGAGCTACGCCTCGGCAAAAATTGAAATATTCTTTATTCCAATAGGTGTTTACTTGATTAAGTTTGTACTTTGTTATTTGAGTGATTTGAACTTCGGAAATACTTTTATTCCCTGTCTTCTAATTTTGACATTTTTATGTAGCCAAAAGTAAATGACCTCCTATGTCCCTTGCAACTTTGCAAAATTTCGTTTTTAGTTGTCCTACTAATTTTACCACTTTACTTTATTATTTTACGTGTCACTCAATTTTGACAAAGTTACAAGGGATGAAGGGATCAAGGGAGTATGTGTTAACTTTGGGAATGAAAAAAAATTATTTATATGAACCGATAAAAGCAAGAACCGAACCGAACCAAACCATTTAGATTTGATTTAGATCCATAACAATTGTGGAGTTTTGAATTTTTTATATAGGAACTAAACCGATTTTGCTAGTTAAGTTTTTTTATATAACTATTCCTCAAATTTTGTATGAGAACCGGTGTTACTTGTTATACGATCTACTTGGAGTGACCTTAGAAAACCATTTTAGCTATGTTTATATAATTTTTTTAAACCATTATGGCATGATGACTTTGAATCCACAGTATTATAAAAAGTAGGTACAAAAATATATTTTATTGGTTCATCATCATCATCATCATTACCCCAGTGCCGCAAAGGCTCCCATCTACGATGGGGTAAGGGGGTCGGATGTACGCAGTTTTACCCCTGTACTAAAGCACCGAGAAACTGTTTCCGGATGACCCATAGTGAAATCTGCGTCGAAAATTGCATGCACTGATTACTGCTTCATAATAACGAAGCGCAGACAGTTTAGTGTGCTATTTTGCTTTATTCCATCATATTCCCAACTCCCAAGCCAAAAAATAGTGAGTCTTTTGCTCCATTAAAAATGATGGAAAATATATATATTTTATTGGTTAAGTAAATAAAAATTTAGTCAAAGAAAATAAACATAAGCCTCTTTAAAATTGAGAAGATATATGTTCCCATATACAGCCCAAACAGGTTTATACCTCTAAGAAGATCTGGATAGACATTGGGTGCGTTCTGGATCAACCACGGTTTGCATTTCTCGAAGTCGGGTCCGCCGAACTCACAATACTCAGGGGGTAAACCACAAACTCCACAATACAAAACCTGAACAGGTTGGGGCTTCTCCGCCATCGCAGCACTTCACTGAACCCCTTCTCTCCCTCCTCTGCCGGAAAAAGATGGTGTTTATGTGCAGTTTATATATGTACCACCGCCATAGGGATAATAAAAAGGGGAAATTACTAAATGAAACTTAAATTGCAGGAGTGTAATTTTTTAAGTCACTACATAGGAGTAGTTTTCCAATCCTACCCTTTTTTGTTTAATACTCCGTACAATTCATATTTCTACATGTATCAAAGCTGGAAAACAGGTTCTCACAGTTCATCTACATAAATTGGCTCTTCTCCGTACGAAGGCAACAATGCCAGCGTATTGGTTGTCATTAAGTTACAGCTTATAACAAATCCTTAATTAAGAAAATTAACCATCTTTTAACTGAAAGAACATATAAAGAACGAGCCTCTACAACACCCTCTAAGCTTGATTATTCACTGCTGATAAGATATAAAACGACATGTAATAACGTACAAACAAGATACGATAAAAGAAGAGAAATACAGTAATAGTCGACTAACCTCAGTGTTTAGACAAACCGCGTGGTGTAGAATACGTCCGGTCTAAGGAGATGGAAATGGAGAGAGCAATGTAGCGTACGACCGTCTGGCTGAGAGATGAGATCAGAGAGATGGCGGAAATGGGCTTAGGTTATTCCAGATCTTGGCATGTGATTTTCTAATTGGACGGGATCAAACACTGTAGCCAATAATTTTACATCATTAGGGAAAGTTCCCGAAATAGGAGTAAAAAGTTTGAAATTTAAAAATAGAACTGTCACGTTTTTATTTCCAAAATAGGAGTAATTACTTTCAAGTTTGAAAAATACTGTCATGTTTGAAGTCTGGTATTGTCAAAACATGACAATAATTAGTCATATTTTGTGAATAAAAACATGACAACCTTATTTTGAAATTTTCAAACTCTTTTACTCCTATTTCAGGTAATATTCTCATTGGACAAATAGTAAATTATACTACGTATTTTTTCTAATACCCATTTGATGTTATTGTCGATTAATTGACTGAATATATTGAAATTGATAAAATTCTAATTAATTGGCTTCACTAATTTGGTGATTTGCAAAAATATTATATTTAAAATATTTTTCAATGATAAATAATGAAAAATCTTATAGAAAATAGTTAAAGTGATCTCTTACGGTTCCCAATAAGTAATCTAAAATTCATTTATGTTTATTATTATACGCGGTATAATAATGCGCAATAATAAAAAATTACTCTATGTGACTAATAAATAAGAATGACTCACAAGAATGATAAGAATGATAACATTTTTGTAAACATGTTTGTACCCATTTATGTAAACCTTAGTTACATAAAATTGATTGATAAGATTGATAAGAGTCTCTCAATAGCTTTAAGCCAGAGAGTAAATGCCAGAGTTAGTAATAAATTTAAAAGTTATGTGTTTTAAATCTCATAAATTAATCCAAAATTCAAACTACGCGTAAAATTCACTCACATCAACAAGCATTGAAATATTTAAACAAAACTTACAAATTGTTTTGGCCACAATTTATTATTTTATATCGATCATATTTTATTAATCTTAAATTTTAGGGAAAGTTCCCGAAATAGGACTAAAACAGTTTGAAAATTCCAAAATAGGACTGTCATGTTTTTTATTCCCAAAATAGGAGTAATTACTGTCAAGTTTGGAAAATACTGCCATGTTTGAAGTCTGGTCCTGCCAAAACATGACAGTAATTAGTTCTATTTTGGGAATAAAAACATGGTAGTCCTATTTTGGAATTTTCAAACCTTTTTAGACCTATTTCGGATAATATTCTCTAAATTTTAGTGTTCATTTGATGTTATTGGTACTTTTGTACAATGACCACCAGTCTGGACTCAGCACTCCCATCGATCCAGAGCAACTCTGATGAGTGTTTTCTCGCACTTAAAATAGTTGTAGAAAAATGGTGAAAAGTACGAGTATCGTCTTCACAGAGACGGACAAAAGGGAAATAAAGATTAACTAAACTTAGCGATTAAAATGAAATAAATAAAATAAAAGTGCAAAAGTACCAATAACATCAAATGAACACTAAAATTTAGAGAATATTACCCGAAATAGAACTAAAAAGGTTTGAAAATTCCAAAATAGGACTACCATGTTTTTATTCCCAAAACAGGACTAATTACTGTCATGTTTTGGCAGGACCAGACTTCAAACATGGCAGTATTTTCCAAACTTGACTCTAATTACTCCTATTTTGGGAATACAAAACATGACAGTCCTATTTTGGAATTTTCAAACTGTTTTAGTCCTATTTCGGGAACTTTCCCTAAAATTTAAGATTAATAAAATATGATCGATATAAAATAATAAATTGTGGCCAAAACTATTTGTAAGTTTTGTTTAAATATTTCAATGCTTGTTGATGTGAGTGAATTTTACGCGTAGTTTGAATTTTGGATTAATTTATGAGATTTAAAACACATAACTTTTAAATTTATTACTAACTCTGGCATTTACTCTCTGGCTTAAAGCTATTGAGAGACTCTTATCAATCTTATCAATCAATTTTATGTAACTAAGGTTTACATAAATGGGTACAAACATGTTTACAAAAATGTTATCATTCTTATCATTCTTGTGAGTCATTCTTATTTATTAGTCACATAGGAGTAATTTTTTATTATTGCGCATTATTATACCGCGTATAATAATAAACATAAATGAATTTTAGATTACTTTTTGGGTACCGTAAGAGATCACTTTAACTATCTTCCATAGGATTTTTCATTATTTATCATTGAAAAATATTTTAAATATAATATTTTTGCAAATCACCAAATTAGTGAAGCCGGTTAATTAGAATTTTATCAATTTCAATATATTTAGTCTATTAATCGACAATAACATCGAATGGGTATTAGAAAAAATACGTAGTATAATTTACTATTTGTCAAATGATAATATTACCTGAAATAGGAGTAAATTTTTTTGAAAAATTCTAAAATAAGACTGTCATGTTTTTATTCCCAAAATATGACTAATTATTGCCATGTTTTGACGATATCAGACTTCAAACATGTCAGTATTTTCCAAACTTGACAGTAATTACTTCTATTTTGGGAATAAAAACGTGACAGTCCTATTTTGGAATTTCAAACTTTTTACTCTTATTTCGGGAACTTTCCCTTGTCAAATTAAATGATGTAAAGTTATTGGCTAAAGTGTTTGATCCAGTCCAATTAGAAAATCACGTGCCAAGATCTGGAATAACCTAAGCCCATTTCCTCCATCTCTCTGATCTCATCTCTCAGCCAGACGGTCGTACGCTACATTGCTCTCTCCATTTCCATCTCCTTAGACCGGACGTATTCTACACCACGCGGTTTGTCTAATACCCTGAGGTTAGTCGACTATTACTGTATTTCTCTTCTTTTAATTTATCGTATCATGTTTGTATGTTATTACATATCGTTTTATATCTTATCAGCAGTGAATAGATCAAGCTTAGAGGGTGTTGTAGAGGCTCGTTCTTTATATGTTCTTTCAGTTAAAAGATGGTTAATTTTCTTAATTAAGGGTTTCCAAATTAACGGGATTCGGAAGTCCCAATTCCGAATAGAGTTAGGGCTGGGAAGAAATTAATAAAAAATAAAAAAAGTAGCGTCGGAAGACCCAATTCCGACTGTAGGAAATTAACTTTTTACAAAAATTAAAAAAATACCCTCTTGTTGGAAGAGCGAATTCCGACTGTAGGAAGGGGCATTTTAAAAATTAAAAAAAAAAATCTTGTAGTTGGAATAGCCAATTAAAAAAGCTTAGACCCATCCCACTACAAAACTTCAACAACCACCCAACTATAAACTTTTATAAAGAAAATTTTGTACAAATTCATCCCACATAAAAATTTATGTAAAATTTAAACAGATAATTAACAAAAAAAATTAATCACATAAAATTTATCACTTAAAATAGATAAAAATTGATCAGATAAAAATCATCAGATAAGAGAAGTCCACCGTAGTAATCATGTATAAATTTTTTAGAATTTTTAATAATAGAGCAATATACTAGTAATGTATCAGATAAGTTTTAATCAGATAAAAATTAACCAGATAAAATTCATCAGATAAGATTTCATTCAACGCACCAACATAATTTAAAATATGGAAATTAATAGTTAAATGAAATTATTATGTTACATATTAATTTATTATTTCTTATTTATATTTTAATATTATGTTATTCACATTTTAACAAATATGTTATTTATTATTTTAATATTTCATTTAGTAGTACTTTATCTAATTTCCAGTCGGATTCCACGAACGGGTTTCAGTTTTAGGACCACAGGTATAAAAATTAGATCTGTTGCACGTTATTTAATATTTCTTTTTTTATCTAAAAAAAAGAAAAATCTAGTCGGATTCCCCAAGGTTTTCAGGAGAGGCTAAGATTGGGGACGCTCTGGCGATATCGGGGGAGTCCGACACCCTAGCCGGCGTGGTAGCAGGGAACCAGACGGATGATACTCCTGTAATCCATTTCGGGTCTTTCACTTTTTCTCTACCAGGGGAAGACCAACACACTGCGCACCCTAAATCTCGGCCAAGATGCAATCTGCCTTTCAACAAAAGCAATTGCCAGATCCCTAGTCGGATTCCCCAAATCAAACCACAAGTATGTCTTTATTTTTCAAAACTCTACCTCCAGTTGGAAACCGTACTTCCGACTCCCGTTTTTTGGTACCCTTATTTGAACTCCCGTATTTTGACTTGTCGGACACAAAAAGCCCGTAAATTTGTCCTTTCCTCCATATTTTACGCCCATCTCGATAGAATCACACTCCAACAGCTCTATCAAATCCTTTCTATTAATAACGAATACACATGTGTCATCAATGGAGTTGTAATGGAATAGCTCTAGAGGTAGAAGAAATGAAAATTTGCAGAATTCTGGTAATGGCTTCGCCGACCCAGGGGTAGCAGAAATGGAGAGAGAAAACTGAGAAGTGCTGAGTATAGGTTGAGTAAAAAATTTGGCAAAAATAACAGTAAGCTTGTGCGCAAGAATGGCAATCCATTTCCACAAGTTGGAAGATGATATTTATACCGTAAATGAAACCCTTGGGCAACAAGTAAAAAATAGCTCATCTAGTAATATGATGACGCGTATAAAGCACGATTGGTGAGAGAATAATCACAGTTGGCTGATTAGTCGTACTATTAATAACAAATGTGATCCTTTTGTATTGACATGTGCAAGGAAGCCACACGCCTAAGTCTGGAATATTCTGTGAAAAACCACCTAGGTGACGTACGCCCTAGGTAGCTATCGCGTGAGTGATGTAATCACAGTTATGTGCAAAACTTGGACGCTGAAATGTCTAAGTCCACAATCTTCTGACAAGGTCCCGAGCTCGGGTGTAGTGTGATAGTGATGAGTGTTTTCTCGCACTTAAAATGGTTGTAGAAAAATGGTGAAAAGTACGAGTATCGTCTCCACAGGGACGGACAAAAGGGAAATAAAGATTAACTAAACTTAGCGATTAAAAAGAAATAAATAAAATAAAAGTGCAATTGTGCGAGATTGGTTGATTGATTGAAATAAAACTAATGCTAAAGAGCAGGTAAAAAGATTTGGTTTTCCTTAATTAACGACGAAGGGAATATGAATTGATTCCGGGGTTAACTAGATTTCTGGCAGAACAGGCCTAATCACATGAATTTAATTTAATTGAGCCTAGCTAATCATTACTAAGTTCTTACCGCTCTCGCGGCGAAGAGTACAATAATTTAGGGGTCCAGGCTGATCTCTCATGCAACAGGATCCTAAATTATTGCCAAAACGAGCGAGCTTACGGCCTCTTAATCGCTACTAATCTCTTAGCGAACGATTAAGTGTGTGTGAATGTGTCCTAGAACAAATTAGATCTCTCTTAATTCATTCTACATGCAATTGTAATTCTAGCTGCAGTCTAGGTTACAAGAGATATCAGTTAAATTATTCAAACACAAATTAAACGGCATTCATGCAATTAAACCGAAAAGAATCTAGCCATTAACCATGATTAACCCCTTCATCAACCCCAAATCCCTAATTAAACTACTCACGCCTCATAATTGACGAATCAAAAGAATTGGGATGAATAGAATAAATTGTCATTAATTAAAGAATTGAACTTACAAAGAATCTCAGGTTCTTGAAGTAAACAACGTAAAAACGCAGGTAAAACTCGTCCCTAGGCCTCTCCACAAAGTTCGTAACCCTCAAAAATGGGTATGGAGGCCTTATTTATAGAAAACATGAGAATTTGAGCTGAAATAGGACAAATCGGGGCCAGACACGATGCCAGGCACGATCGTGTCTGGGATCGTGCCTACGGAGTATATCACGCGTAAAAGATGCAGACACGATCGTGCCTGCCCCGGACACGATCGTGTCTGGCTGCCAGTAGCTCCACGCCTCGTCCTTAATGCAGGCACGATCGTGCCTCCCCTAGGCACGGTCGTGCCTGACCTTTTCTTCATCGTTTTTTCTTCGTTTCTTGCTCCGAATGCTCCCGAATGCCTATGAGGTCGATCCAAATGCTCTTTCTTCACCAGAATTTCGTCGTGAATCTCCCGGTGACCTCCAAATCTCTCAAATCTTTGTCGAACGCCTTCAAATCCTTCCTGAATGCCTCTCAAGCGCCGATTGCCGGACTCTAACTTCTTCAAATCAACTTCAAATGCAATGAAACTCGATTCAACGCCTGCTAAACACAACTTGAGCCAAAATTGAGACTTGCAACGCCTTAAAGCCAGGAAAACCACCAAAATCCGACCCGAACACGCATCAAATGCGTGTCTAAATATGGACTTATCAGACTTAAGCTTTTGCTTGTCCTCAAGCAAATCGAACAACGGGACTTACGATAATCACCACACGGAATTTAAAATAGTTAGCATGCACACGTAGTTAAAGGGATATTCACAAGACATATAATCTAAACCAAGAAAATTCTTCCTTAAACTACACCTTTGTACTTAAGCTAAACTATTTGACACAATTATTCACAACATCCTCAAAGTAATGACAGCCTACACAAATAAGCTAGCTACTGATCAGAAGGACTTGTGAATGTGATGGTGAATGGATAATAATGATAGTCCCTTTATTTTGAGAGATAGGAATATTCTAACAAAGACTCAATGCATTCAGGAATTTCAGGGCTATTCTTAGGAACAAGGAACTCAGTAGGCCACAAATTAGGAACAATCATTTAAACCTATGCAAAGAGTAGACATGGTGTACAACTAAGCTAAACCATCTCGGCACATTTGTGCTTTGACCTATACTTGAAGTACACGGAAGACTAAAGCTAATTTTTCAATAGCCTCCAAGTTCATTCATTAAGTTTAGTTTTCCTTGTCATGTTGGCACGAGAACGCCGTTTCTTTCAAAAGATACCCAAGTCTCATCTTACGCTTTTTGACCGGGGCTCCCATTCTCTTTTTCGAAAAGTAAGAGGTCTAGCTATATTAATTTTTCACCTTTCGGATTCTTACTAGACATTACCCCATTCTAATCTCGGCCTCACCAAGGAAAAATATCAATTTAAGTTCATTAATTTCAAAGTGAATCCATGCCTACAATGCAATCCTCGAAAGTATCATATTCCTAAAAAGTGACTGCTCTTACCCTATTTGGGGCATAGGAACAGTGCCAAAGGTGGCTCCTACACACAATTCCCTAAACTTAACAAACTAATCCCTTAATTCCCTAAACATCAAGCCTAAGTCAGAAATATTCACGGCTAAGAAAGCAGGCCATTTGGCTATGGAGCTAAATTAATTGGGTAAACAAAGAACGGTCAGGCTCAAAATGGCTTCTCCTAAAGGACTTTATTCAGGTGGGGTGGATGATTACTGGAAAATTCATTGGGTGACTAATGCCTTCATCCTCTCAACAACTAGATTATCATGCAAGCAATTTAAGCCTAAACACTTCAAAGATGTTCTAAAAGCATAGTCAAAACGCTTGTCAGCTCACAAAGACACAATTTAAAGAAAAATTTTCAAAAATTTTGCATTAATTTCCTATGAATATACAACTAACACCTGTGCATGCTAACTCTAACAAATCACATGTAACAACTACTGCCCGAATGCCCAATTCACTCCCCCACACTTAAACTTTGGCATCGTCCCCGATGACCAAATATGCATTATGTACTAGGGGTGAAGAGGAAAGGGTCACGCGTGCTCAAAATCAACTCAAGTTAATATTACGCATCGAGTAAATAGAATCATGGAAACTTCCCTATCGCGTTGGTCGGCCAGGAACAAAACTGGGTCTTGAATCGCACGGCACATCATCCACAAAGCTGCAACACATCATGAACACAAAGCAAAGCACAATA